AAAGGTGGGAAGAAAAAAGACGCATTCAACCTTGCTGTTGCGTGGAGCTGAATCAGCCCGGAGGGTGAGAGCAACAGCAGAGCTCATCACACCAACTGAAGGACGTGAGGACCGTCGGAGGAGCAACCGGGCTAGAGCGGGAGCTGCACGCCCGGCGACATCCCAGAGCGAGGTGGAGTGCGTGCATGGGGCAGCTTTGCTCGGGGCAGCTTTGCTCCTCGAGCGCCTGTGAGTGAGGTGGGTGGCAAGGGGGTCGAGGTTGCCTGTCACCAGTGTCTCCTAGCGTGGCGCACAGCCCCTGGGTCCGGGAGCCAGGCAGGAACAGAGCATTAACCCACACTGTGCTGGCTGTGAAATATCCAGACAGCAAGAAAGTCTGTATTTTTCAGACAATGTCTACAACACAAAGTGGTAGATATTCATGTGACTCAGCAAGCAGATGTAACAGAGCTGCAACTGGTGTTATTTCTAAATCAAGAAGGCATATAGCAATTGGACCTTTATTTGTACTGAAGGCTATATGCCGAAGTACTTTCATATGTACAAAAATTAATGTGAGCAGGAAGATGGATGGAGATTAAAAAAGGATCAATTGAGAGACAGAAATTCTAAATCCATGTATGCAGAGGTGCCAGGGTGATAAACGTTGCTTTGTTCAGGCTTCAGATGAAGTTTGAGGTGTGACAAATCTGACTCCTCTCTTGTCATCAGAGGAACTCGTTGCTGCCATCATGCTGGATCCTGTCTCTCATGCCGACCAGACCAGATGTTTTGGTTTTAAAACAAGCTATGGACAATTAAATTGCTGTGCAATGCACTGGCAGCGCCAGCTTTCAGTAATTCCCTGTCTTTGTGAGGATGAGAGGTGATGGGAGTGGAAAGCAAAAGCAGAAACTTAATATGATCCTTGCCACAGGCATCTTGGATAAAGCACTCTTGGCTGCTAGACAAACGCAGGCCTTGATCCTGCAGAACCTGATTAGTTTTTTACACACAAATAGTCCCACTGTGGCATGAAGTGTGCAGAAGTTTATTGCAAGATGCCCCGAGAAGGGAAGTGGGAGTGAGGCGAGCTGGAGGAATGACTAATAAGAAGTAGAGGGGAGTTAAGCACAGGGCAGCAGAAGTTCAGCCACTTGGCTGATCCATCAGGTGGGTGGGTTACAGCTGGAGCACCACATCAGATAAAACAACAGGAAGAGCCGAGAGATGGCAAGCACAGGGAAGAAGACCACCAGGAAGACTGAGAAGTGGAGCAGTCCTTTAGCACCACTGAGCAGGGTGAGAAAGGCGAGGAGAAGAGGAGACATAATGTGATGAATGCGATTACTCATCTCTGACTCAGAACTGAATGGGTGTTCCTACTTAATGCTTTGTTTGTGATTGTATTTCGGTTATTTTACAAGTCCAGAGGGAACATGCCATGAAGCCCTTGGGAAAGCAGAGGTTACTGGGCCAAAAGAGATTAGGTGGAGAGTTTCCAAATGAGTGAACACAAAGAATGTGTAAACCTAAACATCTGAGGAATTAACATCTGAACAATCACCCTAGGTGAGAGAGGCATGGTTGCAAATACAAATCAATTGACATGCACCACAATCTTTAAATCTCATTTTAACAGGCCAGGAGACCATGTTAAGGGCAAATGAAGAGGAGAAGCCAGAAGAATCCTGCCCAACTCACCTGTGACAACCTTGGAGGGGTCTAAGTGTTAATGCAGAGTTTCCTGAGCTCCTCAAGTCATGCCCCAGACCGTACCCAGCCTCATCCCTAGCTCTGCTGCTCTGAACACGTGCTCTTTTTAACCTAATGGCCGCATAATGGAAATCCCATAAACTCGGATGTGAACTACGAACTTGCCTAAGAAGAGGAGAACACCCATCATCTTGGTGGACCCCCAGGGAGGCAGGTCCAAGACCAGGCAACACAACTCCTTTCAGCCCGGCCTTGTGCTATGGCGTTTCCCGCCTGGCGGATGGGATTGCCGCTCCCCGGTGCATGGCTTAGCCCTTGTCTCAGCACTGCGGGACCCAGGCCAGGAACGGGGGCCTCACCTCGAGGGGACCCTCATGAGACACATCCCTCTGCCAAGCCCCCTGGGGCCCCTGACGGCAAATGCACTTCTCAGGCTACAGTCCTGTGGTCCTGGGACAAAAAAAAAAATACTACGTGCATGCAAAGCTTTTACAAATTTGGTCACTGTGACCAAACCTTATTACCCATTTTATGGAAGTGTGACAAAAGTCTAGGAATCAAACAACATGGGGATCACAGAGGCTATTATGTTTATTGTGCTGAACAGACTGTGATAATCCATTAAAGGAACATTTTCAACAAGCAAGCGATTCGAAGTACAATCATAGACAGCAACTCTACACGAAGAACAAAGCAAAAAGTTAGAAGACACTCAAAAGAAAAAGTAAACTGTAGTTAAACATCTTGAAGCTTTTTTTTTTTTCCTGCAAACACACCTCTCTTGCAGAAATGGTAGAAGAGTTAAATGTCCAGTCTTAGTTAGCAGTGGCCAACGACAGCAAAGAACAGTCGTATAAAATTTATCTCCCACAAAAATAAACTATATATATAAAAAATTTTATGATGTTCTCACTGATTCAATGGCCACATGCAATTTTTCAGTCTGAAAAAATGAGGTATAGTAGGCCCTAAGAGGTAGTAATGTGTTTTGATTGTACTACAATATATAGAAAATACAAGATTCCGTTCATCAGAGTGGTAAGTCTCTCGGAGGTTGAAGTGTGACACAAACCCAGCAATTATTTCTGTGTCATCCACTGAATACTGTAGTTTTAAAAAATGCAAAAAACCCCACCCCCAAACCCCAAAAGGGACTTGCTAAGGCTTGATTCGATGCCCTTTGAAGTCAGCAGAATTCCTCCTACTGCCTTCAAGTGACAGTGGATTTGGCCCGTTAGAGCTACTCCATAGCTAGGATTATTTCTCTTTCACTTAATATTAATGTGCCTAGTTGTAACACGCCGACCAGCTCTTTCTCAGCGAGTTCCGCCTCTGAACCCTCTGCGGGCTTTCGAGGAGGTCCGCATTTCTTGACACTGCCTCTCGGAAGAAGCCAGTAAACAGTTATCTTCAACTGCATTTGGCTCGGTATTGAAGCCATACCAACAGACGCCTTCCTGAGAAACTACCCCTGGCCCAGTTATTAATACAATGGTACGAAGTACTGACTAGGAAAGAGAGGAAGAAGGGAAACAAAATAGAAATAGAGAAAACAAAATGGGAGGACAGAGAGAGGGAAAGAACAACAAAAGTGAGAGAGAGGAGAATAAAAAACCTCTACATAAGAAGCATTTAAAATAAATCTGGCTGAAACATATTACAAAATCACATTTGTGTAAAATACACGAAAATACTTGTCAAGTATTTTCTTACAATCTACTAATTATTTTTTTAAAACACATATTTGTGATTGCATTATGCAAAAGCTGAGCTTGTTGCTTCCCACCTACAAAGCTTCAAGTTTCTTTGAAGGTTTTTTTTTGTTCGTTTTTTTTTTTTTTTTTTAAATACGAAAGTAATTTAAAATGTGTTCATTTTCCACAAGTTATTTTACAAAAATAGTTTTGAATTAGGGATTAGTTGCAGTCCTGTTTCAAACGACTCAAAACTAACGCTGAAAGTAACAAGTTCATTCCATTTAAAGTCTGGAGGTAGGTCTTTGTCAATCAATTAGTCCATTTCTTTAAACAATTCATTTGAGGTACAAACTTGGACAGTAATATTTAAACATTACAGCTAATTTTTTTTCTGTCATGTAGTGTCACTGAAGAAAATTATCCTCACAAACCTATCAGCAATTCAGTACAAAAATATATTCAAGTTAACAGTACATTACACAGAAGTCTAGCAGAGAATAGGGTAAGTACATTAAAAAAAAACCAAAAACCAAAACAAACCAAGAGAAAGAAAAATACATAGTCATGCCAAAACACAATAAAGATATTGCTTCCTTAACTGCAATTAAGTGTTGAAGCAGAAACAAGGGGAAAATGCAGATACTCACGATTACCTACCCAGTAAAAAATTCCTGCATTTAATGTGTATAGCAGCATGTATTTATCAGTCTGTTGAGTTAATTGTAAAAATCAGAGGTAGTATTGAATAGTGGGGTAATATTGCATCTGGTGCTAAAAGTGCTGCTTTGAATGAAAAGATGGAGAAATGCCACTGGCCCAGAGGTGCTCAGCGAACCATCCTATGTCAAAATACATTGCTTAAAGTCATACACGAGCTTAGCTGAGGTACGTGGTGTTGGTTCTTACATCGTGACTGATGAGTAATGTGGAGAGATTCAATTCTTTTGAAATACTGGTATGGGACGAGTAGAATTAGACAAAACTAAGCAAAACATATGGATTATTTTTGTTCAGATAAATTCATGGTTAATTTTGAGGTACCTTTCTGCATGTTTTAAAATACTTTTCTTGATAAAGGCTTAGTCATTAATGGCATAAGAGTGTTTGGTGTCAGCCATTTTTGTTTCCATAGAGAATGCCTGGCTCTACAGAAAGCCAACTCCGTCTGGCCTCTTATCGTCCAGAAGATGAGGGTTGTTCACCCTGTTTACTACTGCTTCTGCTGATATGTTTGTATCTATAACTATACAACGTATCTTTGTCTTTCTTCCCTTTTGCAAAATGAAAGTACCTTTTTGTGTTGATTTCTTTCTTCTGATTACCAGCTGAATGACGTGAAAGATCAGCTTTCAATTTTTTTCCTGAAATAACAGTAAGTCTTAAAAAAAAAAAATCAAGTACAAGTCTACAAGAAGGTTACAAAAAAAAAAGAGTAGTATCCATCCCTTATCTTTGGTGTTCTAAAACAGGGAGTTCACTAAGTAGGGAGTGGGTTGCTGGAAGTGTTGCAAGGCTTTAGTGTTACACACCCAGCCTTTCCCATTTCAATGCCCATTATAATGACTATATTACAAGTTTCTTGTTTATATGCAGTGCAGTAAATGACTTAAACCTGATTCGGAGCTCTTCTTGACCCATTTACCCTTACTTAGCAGCTCAAACAAACTATTAGTAGGTTAAGAAAAAAGAAAACAGTAATTAAAAGTTGCATCATTAATCTGTGTCCCCTTTGTGTTACAGCAGTTTTTCACTAAACCTGGGACTGTGAAGGGATTACAAAGAAGATGATTAGTCAAATCCTTTTTAAGGTCATGCGATTTTTTTTTTCCCCCCAGGCAAAAGTGGAAAGACCATGGCAATAGAAAATAAGTGGTCAAGGCAGTGTCTTCTCCCTTCAAAAGACCCAGCTGCTGATGAGGTAGAAATTGCATGGTGCGGTCTCCTAGTCTTCCTCTGCAGACTCTTGTGAGGACGTTTCTTCAGTCTCTTCCTAGAACACATAAACGGAAAAAATAAATACTGTGGCGACCATGTGTCTTGGGCTGCCACCTCACTCTTTTCTCACGTGGCTGACAATTAGCTCCTGAGCTAAGAAAATGCCCTCTCAAGAATCTCAATTCAATCTCAAGAAGCCACCTTGGGGAGGAAGGGAAGGTCTCCTGCTCTCCAGTCACCCCATTTTGGTTTGCCGGGCTTTCCTCCTAACCCAGGGCGTGCCACGAAAAAGTTCATTTGTGCCGTGCTCTCTCACGGCCCTCTCACGGCCAGCAGACATGGGCTGCTAGAAAATGGAAAGCATTTTGAGCAGGTATCCAATGTTAAGTGGGTGCTCTGAGAAACTCTCTTCTCCCCATCGGCTGTCCTTCTCCGGCCCACTGCTGCCTCCACGCTTGACTTCCACAAGCCTGCCCGAATGCAATGCTCTTACATCGCTTCGTTAACAAACACACAGCACCTTTCAGGACATGGGCAGTAAACTGGGGGCAATAAACATGTCTGATAAAAGGGTCTGCCAGTGAAAAGTTGTTTTTTATCAAATGCTGCACATCATGCCCTGAGACAGCACGTGAAAAAGATCTAGGAAGAACAGGAATTTACCCCCTCAGCCAACTGAGACCTTTTAAGAATGACCAGCTTAAAAGAGCTTATAACAGCCTTCATACTTTAATAGATTTGATTTTCCACATGGCTTCATTTTGTCTGGGTGGCTAACTGACACAATTTATAACTCTCTTCCTTTCCCAGGCCACTACAGTACACCATTCAGCAAAGCATGCCTTAAAGCTCGCCTGCGTTATATGACCAAACTTCCATTCATTAGTGTTTGAAACACCTCAGCTGTGAAGGGCTCCTAAATGCTACCATGTGTGACACTGCTGCGGAGGAGCGGCATCAAGGAAAAACACTGGGCTTTAATCACAGGCCACTGCTCGCTGCAATGCCCTTTCAAAAGGTTTCACCACCACCACCACCACCACACCCCCCGCAAGAAAAGGCTGGGAAAAAAAAAGCTGTAAATCCAGGGAATAAACATAGGTATAAATGAATGGACGACAGCTTAAAAAATATAACCACAGCAGCATCAAGCCATGAGATTTCACACTGGTTTTGTTTAGTCTGCTTTGGGTTATGTGGGAAATGTGAAAAGCATGAAGCAAACCCTCCCCCCCTCTCCCTTCATGCCCCCACCCCCCACCACAGCTCAGGCCTCAGATATTTCAGCCAGGAGGTTTTTACCTCTTGACTAGGAAACAGGCCATGACCCTGAGGTACTCTCCCGAGCACCAGGCACAAAGAAAGATGTAGCATGATCAAAGCCGCGGATGGAGGAAAGAGAGCGAAGTCAAGTGTCAGCTGCCCTCTGACCTTGACTTTTCAATTAATATTTAAATTCCAGAAGACACCGATCTATCATGCGGATGAACAATTTCTTCCTCCCAACAACTCATGTCCACTTGTAGCAGGGTTATATTCACACTGCTGCTACGAAAATGCTCCCCGACTCACAAGTAATGATGGAGCGAATTCTAGCCCATGGCTGGCAGCATGGGGGGACCCACGCTCGCACTCCATCGGATCCCATTAAAGCCTAATGCATTCTCCCCGCTGCCCTCCCCCACAGAATGTGACTGCAACTGTTACAACATTGCAGTCAAGAAGAAAAACGGTGTCTACAGGCACCTAACAAAGGGCTAATTTGGGCTGCACGTGTAGAGACAGTGCAAAATATGTTGGTTTGAGCCTTGGTAATTCAGAACTTGGGATGAACAAGGCAAACACCGGCTTTGCCTGCAAGCCAAGTATTTCAGCTGAAAATTATGACTGTGGGTTCTGTGCTCTTAACATAATACAGGTAGACGTGTTTTGGTATTTGATGATGATCACACGCTCAATTCCTTGCAACGCTGCGGTCAGCCCTGAGCCTCTCGCCATCGTTTCCCAGAAGATGGCTGCACACTCGTGGGCACGGAGCGGCAGCTCACTTTGTTTTATGCTTGGCTTGTCAGGAGACTACTGAAACCTGATGGACTCATTCTCCATGAAGGTGGACTTCCGATCACGGAATTAAGAAGGACGGGGGAGAGGCAAAGTATGTGGAAGGACATACCTCAGAGGTCAGCCAGGATGACCACACAGAGCTATTTTTAGTTAAAGAGTTGCCCACTCTAGTGATTTTTCCTGTGAATCTCACAGTATTTTTTTTCCTTGTAGCCCTGCTGCAGTGACCGAGAAAATGAATGAGAAGCTCTTCCTTCATCTATATACGTATGTTCACACAATCAAGGATGAGTTTCTCTCATCTGCATATGTATATGCAAATGTGTGTATCTGTAGTATTTGGAAGGATAAGAAACCAAAAACCAAGCTAATTACCCAAAACCCCCCCCCCCCATATTTAAATAACAAACTAATCAAAAAATGTATGACTGGCAGACTTCAAATTCTCATCATTCTTGGGAAGGACTTTTTTTTTTCATGAAGAAGAGCTGGCAAAGGGATCAGACTGTTGTGCAGCAGAACAAAAACTTTCCTTCATTAAGTTCATTTCTTGCAGAAGCCTAAGATAGCTCAGTTACAGACGGGTGGTTTTAAGCCAACCTATCATGTAAGTCCCTTGTCAAGACATAGACGGAGACACAATCGCAATTCTGAAGTGCTTACAATTCAAACAAAGGGATAATACAAATCAGACATATATGCATGGAGGGACTCAAAGGAAGAAGCGAGCAGAGGTTCTGAAAGAGAAAATGTGAATGTATAAGACAGGAACAGCGAGGGACTTTTTGCATTGGCGAAAATCTGGTTGCGAGTATTGGAAGGTTGTGCAGCTGTGATCCTCAACCCAGCCTTTGCCTCTGCAGTGCCCAGACATGCACACACTTCCCAAAAGATGGAAGGGAGCAGGCATTTTGAAAACTGCACCCCGCAGAAGTTGCAAACCGGCTCTGCACTGAGTCAGTTCAGCCAGAGACTCACTGAAATGCACTGTGTGGCATGTCAGGGCACTGGGCACCTCAGAGAAAGGATGCTTTACCACCACTTAGCACCTTGCAGGCACTCAGAAGTCCTCACAGACACACCACCATCGATGGCACAGCTGCACATCATAGGATCAGTCCCTAGGTCAAAAGTCGAAGGAGGAACTGGGGCTGGAGTGAAATACGTTGTAGGTCCAGATGTGCTCCTGATCAAGTTGAAGAGAAGGGCAAAAATCAAGAAGCAAAGCACAGGCATTAGAGCAGACATGAGAAACCCAAGTCACTCAGCCAGGGCGTGACAGCCAGGCAGAGCATAAATTCAGCAACACCACCACAGGAAGCGCGCAGCCGGGAAGCGAAGGTTTCACGTTACATGGCAGCCTTAATTCAGGTTGTTCTCACTTTTTAGGTGCATTTACTGCAGTTGTGCAGACAGAATGGTGACATGTGTTAATTGAGCGTAAACGTTCATCGACCCAGTTTTGCCTTGAAAAGCCACTCCCCTGGATATTTGTTTTCTGCTGCAGCAAGCTCGCAACAGGCTGGGTTAGCAGACTGCAAAGAGAAACCTGAGAAAGCTTCAAACTAACCAGGCCCGGGTCTGGCTAACAGCGAATCCACAGCCACGCAGAGCTCAGGGTGAACAGGACACGCACCTGAAGGGCAGGGTAAATACTCAGATGCATAGCTCGGGCTTCACTCCCCGTTGCGAAGACAACATCCCAGGCGGCTCCCTGCACATCCGTGTGCCCCACATGCATGTATCCTCGGGGGCTGACTGACACGGGATGCGCCACAGAGACAGTTATACAAGGCACGTCCTGTCCCTGGTTGTCCTATGCATGGGTACGTTTATCCTGAGTTGCTACAGGTCACAGCCCGACACTGTAAGACAAACTGCAAGCCAGCACCCTGAGCTGTTTCCACCCTTAATTGCTGTAACTGCCCTACCAAACTGGGAGTGATGTGGAGCTTCAAAAAAGAGCAGCAAGAAGGCTTTCTCCACAGCTCCTACGGGCACCAATGTTTAATGGGTCTTTCCTTGAGCGGTACCACTGACAAGAGGCTGGCAGACATAGACGCCGGACTGGGACCTGCCAGCGCAGCCCCCTTGCCTCTCACTGGTGTCAGATCCCAGCAGGAGACACAGGACAGATGTTTCCCAATGGGTTACAGCAGGTATCTTCCCTCAAAAGGGCTGCTCTGCGGGCGGCTGGCACTATTGTTGTTAGCCCTGATCTAACAGTGGTGAAGGTAACAAAAAGGACCAGGAAGCAGAACAGCAGGCTTCGCTTAGAAGTGCTATCTGCAGCCAGCATGCCTGTTCGGGCTTGCCCAACACACGATTTCAAAATATAATATCCTTTGTGGAATCTGGTTGCCTGAAGATGGGAACCCGGGGCTGTTTTAGATCCCCTGGCTACCTCATCTGGTATCTGGCAGCCAGCCCAGAAGGGTGCGGGTCTCCTGTGTCATGCCCGCCTGCTCTGCATGGATGTCTGTGATCCCCTGGGACACCTAAAAGGGCACAGAACAGCAGTGTCGAGACGTGTGGACCCACGAACCCTCTCCAGAGCTATAATGCTCCTTTCTCTGCTTTTGAAGGTTCTCTACTGCAGAAAAACAAACCAGTGTATGCTGCAGGAATATGTGAAGTGATAACCACCAGCACACGCACCTCATTCCTAGAGCTCAGCGGTGGCACCATCCAGAATGGAGCTGTGCCACGAATGACCATCTTTAAACCACAATGTCTTCTCAGATCAGAGTGACCCACTGGTCCCAAGAGACTTGTTTCCCATGACGACCTTTGCGGGTGAAATTCAGCTTTACCCGCCGCCTGAGGCCTCCATTTGGTGACCCGCATTTGGTTGGTGTGGGCTACTTTTCCGGCAGTACAAGCAGCTAGTAGCATCCTCACGTTCTCAAGAACATACATGCTTAGTTCGGGCTTCCCTTGTCCTCTGCAACCCTTTTTCGGCAGACCCCCACAAGGTGGTCACAACAAAAC